GTGATTTTTAGTACATTTATAAAGTTTTTAACTCTTCTTACAATCTAGTTATAGACCATTTTTATCACCCAAAAAAACAAGCTTTGTTTCCATTTGTGGGCAGTTCTTGCTCCCACTCTCAACCTCAGGCAACCATTTACCTGCTTTCTATCTCTGTAGATACGAATTTTCTGGCAATTTCGTGTAAGTAGAATCATATAAAATGTAGTCTTTTGTGTCTGTCCTTTTTCGTTTAGCATACTATTTTGAGGTTTATCCATGTTGTAGCATGTATCAGTGGTTCCTTTTTATTGCCAAATAGTTATTCCATTATATGAACATACCACATGTTGTTATTCATTCACAGTTGGTGGACATTTGGATCATTTCCAATTTTGGCTATTAGAAACAATATTATAAACATTCTAGTACAAGTCCTTATGTGAATATACATTTTCATTTTTCTTGGATAGGTACTTAGGAATGGAATTGCTGGGTCGTATGATAAGTCTTTGTCTTAACTCTTTCAGAATGTGCTACGAAGTTTTCCAAAGTGACAGCACCATTTTATACTTCAGGAGCAATCCATGAGAGTTCTAGTATCTCCACCTTCTGGCCAATCCATCTTATTGTCAATCTTTTTTATATAACCATTCTGATAGATGCGTAGTGTGACCTCATTGTGGTGTTGATTTACATCTCTCCAATGACTCATGATGTTGAGCCTTTTTCCAGTGTTATTATTAGTCATTTGTATCTTCTTTTGGTAAATGAGATTCCATATATCTGCCCTAGTTTTAATTTGATTATTTGTCTTTTTACTGAATTATAAAAAATTTTATATGTTCTGGATACAATTTCTTTTTTCATATATATGATTTGCAAAAATTTTTTCCCATTGAATGACTTGTCTTTTCATTTTATTTTGTCATTGAAGTGCAAAAGTTTTTGATGAATTCAGTTTATTGTTTTTTTCTATATGAAGTCTGCTTTTGGTATCATATTTAAGGAATTTTTGCCTAATCCAGGGTCAGAGAGATTTTGTCTTCTTGAACAGGAATCAGCAAACTACAGCTTACAAACCACATCTGGCTCACAACTTGTGATTGTACATCTTTTATTGAAACATAGCTGCAACTATTCATTTACATATTCTCTATGGCTGCTTTCTCTTTACAGTGACAGTTGAGTAGTTGTTGCAGAGTTTGTATGACCCAGACAACCTAAAATATTTACTTTATATCCCCCTTCCAAAGATGTTAGCTACATCTTATTTAGACATGTTACAATTTTAGCTCTTATAGCTGTGTCTATGATCTAGTTTGAGTTAATTTTTGTGCATAGTATGAGGAAGAAGTCTAAGTTCACTTTTTTTTCACATGGATATGTAATTATTCCAGCACTATTTATTGAAAATACTATCCTG